CGATTGCCAGAGACTGGAGGGAGCAGCAGGCGGGGCAAATAGGTACAGAATTCCTCTGAGCTATGCAAACTATTCTGGAGGTTCCTCGTGGGGAGGGTTGCGCGACCTGGCAAATATACTAAAAACTACTGAATTGCTTTTTGCTGTCTCTTTTGAGCTGGAGTGTCACCACATAGCCCAGGCTGGCCTGGAACTTACAATCCTTTCGCCTTGGGCTCCAAAGCACATGTATGTGGCTCAGTTTGTGGGAACAGCCCATCATGGCGGGTGGGGGAGCGAGAGCAGGCAGCTGGTTTCCTGCATGTGTGGTCAGCACGCAGAGGGAGAAGAATGCTCTCCCCCTTCTTTCCTTCAGTCCAGATCCTCAGCCCACAGCCTAGCTCCACCCCCACTGGAGGTCTTTCCGCTTTAATTAACCTAATTTGGAAATGTTTTCACAGATGAGCGCAGATAACTTGTTTGCATGGTGATTTTAAATCCTGCCAAGTTAAGAAGCTTACCCATCGCAAAGTCCTGCTCCCGCTCTGGAGAGCTGTTGATTTGAATCCATCGCTATACATTTCCCTTTTCCAGGACGCACGAAAATGGACTCCCACAGTGGGGAGCTCTTTTCAGTCGCCGGGGAATGATGCGCTGGCTAGTAATGACACAGACCTCGATCAGCACTGCTTTTAAAAACCTGGAATCGGACACTGCTAACGCTTCGTCCAGTGTGACCCGACTCTATTGAAGGCGATGTGCATTAGGAGGCGAGCCTCACAGTATTTAGGACGAGGCTACAATGAGAGGGCATGTGCCTCCCCCTGCCAACCGGCAGCAGCGACCAGCAGACACAGCCACTGTCGCCGTCCCATCCTGTTGTGGCACTGACGGCCAGGAGCTGGATTGCTAGGAGCGCAAGAGACCGCTGCCCATGCTGGCATCCCTTCGCTCTGGCTCTCCCTTTGAGAACATGCTTTTTGTTCTAGTTTTCAGCTTTTCCTATTTCGGTTATTTTCTTCTACTTGGCAATCTAATTTAGGCATTTCTAGACATTGTGGCCTTAATGGAGCGTTCAAACCACTCAAGGTTTTGTTTTGTTTTAAATGAAACTAACCTTTTCTGCCCTCTTCTAAGCTCAGGCTCTGTAATTTATTTATTTAAGTAAAATTTTGTATGTGTGTGTGTGTGTGTGTATGTGTGTGGTGTGTGTATGTGTGTGTGTGTGTGTATGTGTGTATATGTATGGATGTGTGTATGTGTGTACGTGTGTATATGTATGAATGTGTGTGTATGTATGTGTGTGTGTATGTGTATGTATGTGTGTGTGTGTGTGTACGTGTGTATATGTATGGATGTGTGTGCACACTTTGCTGGGTGTGTACACAGGTGTGTGGTGCACATACACACGGAGGCTGGAGGACAAACTCTGGGTCACTCCTGGGGAATGCTGTCCACCTCAGCATTGAGACAGGCTCCCTTACTGACGTGAGTGTGCCAAGTGGGCTAGGCTCAGGGCTGCCAGCCCATGGCCCTGCCTGTCTGCGCCTCCCGAGGACTGAGCTCTCAGGTGTGAGCAACCGGGCCGGGCTGTTCTACATTGGTTCTGAGGATCAAACTAGGTCGTGTGCCTTGCAAAGCAAGTTTATCACGGACCAAACCTCCCCCAGCTCGGCTCTGCATGGTTGGAGTTGGATTAAGGCGACTCCAGGCTTCTCAGTCAGCTTGAAGAGGCCTCTGTGTGCTGCTTGCAGCTAGGAGGATGGGGGCGTGTCACAGCCTGTGGCCTGGCAGGGGTGGAAGGCCACCTCGCTGCAGAGGAGATGGGCGAGTTGGTTAAGAGGGACGTTGGGGGTGGGGGCTTCTGTTAAAAACTCTTCCAGCCTTCACCAAAGGTGACAGGAGCCACCTGCTGCTGACAGGAGTCTGTCTGTAAATCAAACCCTTCCTGCCCGCTTGTCCACACATTCCTTGATGTGGGAAGGGCTTCTTTTCATCTCCAAATCCTTGGTAGCCACCCCAGGGCCTACAGCGAGCAGGAGGATAGGTGGGGACACGGGGGTAAAGGGGTAACTTAACCCCAAGACTTAGCCAGCTGCCTGGGAGCGTCGGCTGAACAGTGTGCCTGTCTCAGCTCTGGCCAGCCACCATCCTCTCATGGTCAAAGCACATTAGGCCATTGTCAGGCTGCTACTCATGGGAAGGCCAGCAGGCAGGGGACACAGGGCAGGAACGTGCTTTCTAAGGGACATTCCTTCACACTAAGAGTTCACATTCACCTAGAGCAGTCTGCCACTGACTAATTGGATTTGTGGAGCACAGGCCGATTCCTGAGGGGGCTTTCGGCAAACTTTAAATTGCCTCTGGGATTAAGACTAGCTCCCAAACAACTAGAACTCTAAACTTTTCTAGGATTTGTGGTAGGCCCTCTGGAGAGCTGGGTAAAGGGCAGAGGGCAGAAAGCACAGAGCACACAGGCCGGGGACAGCTCCAGTAGGAGTTGGCAAGAGGCCCCTCACTGCTCATGGGAAGGGGCAGCTGGAGAACAGCGCGAGCCCCTCCAGATCCAGCTGACGGTATTTTCCTTTCTTTTGCTGTGCCTTCTGACAGGACAGCTATCTCCCGAGGCAGACAGACAGACAGACAGACAGACTCCCCGTGTTTTTCAGGCCAATAGACAAGGCTGGCTCAGGCAAGACCAATATAAGCAGTTGAAACTATCCTTTTCCAAGCCAGAGATCTTCCAGCATCCTCCGTGCCTGGAGACCTTCTGCTGGGTGAGCTCCCTTCCCCACCATGGAGGTGCCTGCCCAGTGCACACAGGCAGGGTTCTCCCTGTGGCCAGACCTTCTTCAGGTAGGTGAGAGGAGGAACACAGGTGGGAATCCAAGGACAGGTGGAATCCATGTTAGAATGTGGCTGTGGCTTCCACGTTTCCGGGTTCTTCAGAGATGAAAAGGAGCGTCTTCAGGGCTCTCAGCTGGAGCAGAGATAGGGCATGAGGAGGGGCATTGCAAGGAGGCAGCAACAGAAGAACCTTTCTGCTCAGCACAAGGCAAACTCTGTCATTAAGGCTGCCTGACGAAAGAATGAGAGATGTGAGCGATTTCGGTGCTGAAAACAATTGGGAAATGGTTTTTCTGAAAGACTGACACGGTGGAGGAAGAGCAGGTAGTTAGGGCACCCCTGCCACAGCCCACCTCACCTGCCACAGGGCTGCCACAGCCCACCTCACCTGCCACAGGGCTGCCACAGCCCACCTCACCTGCCACAGCCCACCTCACCTGTCACAG